GCTTTCTAAACAGCACCTTGAGAGAAGGAGGCTGTGTTTAATTTTGTGCAAATGTGAAGCTGTGGCTGCAGGGAGTAGGGCTCGGGGCTGGGTCACTCTGGTAACACTTCCCACATGACTTTATCAATGGGTGGGCCACGAAAACTTAGCCTGTGTTTTCTTACACCCCACCCCCAAACCACCCAACCTGCCCAAGTGTTAGTTTTTCAAAGCCAGAGAAGTTTCAAAGGCCTGAACCCAACACAGGGGCCTTTCTTCCTGCTTTGATTTTCTGCCCATTAAGTGTTTGTCAGTGAGTTCGTATTTCGCCTCCTCTGCAGCCTACACATCCCAAGAAGTCCCTGGAGGTATAGGAAGTTAATTGATCTTGATTAAAAGAAGAAGAAAATGCTTGAGTCTGGTTTTAGGATCACCATATTATTATTATTTATCTATCTCTCTCTCTCTGGCCCTGCTCTGCAAAAAGCTCGTAATGCACAGTTTATTATCAATAAATCTAAAGTCCAGGATATTGGCTTCAGAGTTTTGATTGGATTAGATGTGTGTGTGTCTAATCAGCATGTGTGTGGTGCACGGCAGTGAACGTCAGCACGTGTTATTGCCTTGATGGTTCCAAAACATTTTCTTTTTCTTTTTTTCCTTCACAGGCCATGAGAGTTAACTGAGCTTCAGTTAATTTATGAACACTCAGGTGCCTCCTGCTCTCTGGTTTTAGTGACTCACTTTAGAAAGTATTCGACATTTAGAGTCGGATCATTTGAACCTCATCCAGCTCCATCGCTTACTCTGGAAAGTCACTTTAATCTCTTTTTGAACCTTAGGGTAGCTTAATGTATTAGTTTTTATGACAGTTTCTCCTATTATCCTTTGGGCCACTGGAAGGTTGGGACTTGGCATCTTTTCATCTTGGTAGCTCAGCCAGTGCCTAGGACATAGGCATAGCCAGGTTTGTCCGACTTGCAGTGGTTTATGTGGGGACCCTCAACACCGTGTAGGCAGAGAATAGTTGTCAAGTAAGTGCTGGCTGTTGGGAGTCTTGGTGCTCTTCTTCCCTGGCTTTCCTTCGTTTTCTATTTGTATTTCTCCTCCACCCCTGGAGCAGAGTCTAAACTTGTATTATAAAAACCATCCGTTTTGTGGTTGCCAGTATTGGAATCCTTAAACTGCATGGATTTTTTTCGAGCATTCTTAGTCCATAGCTCCCAGAAACCTCTCTGATTCACGTCAGGGTCAACTCAAGCCTCCCATTCCTTGTGGGACACCTTTGCTGATCCTGGTAGACTGGACTTAGTGCCCTTGCTGCAGTCTACACAGTGGTCTTTCCTCATACTGGAGAGATTTGAGTGCACTTATTCTGTGACTTTGTCACACCACCACCACTTCTCCAGAGTAGCTGCTGTGACAAGTCACCTTCAGCATCCCCAGTCCAGCACTGGAGATTTTCTTTAGGCAAAATGGCAAACGACTGTAGTGATGGATAATAAAGATGGTACCCGTGTCGGAAATGGAGACTCTGCTTTGGAAAAGGACAACTTGTTTTTCTGTGTCCTCAGAGCAAAGCATGGGCTTGTGTCTCTTGAGGACTGCCCAGTTGGGGACTGTTTATGCATGGCCTGTCAACTGAAGGCAATCTGAGGTTACCGCTTTCTGGAGGGAAGTCAAGATTTGACTGGCATCACTCCCCCCACCCCCTGTAATACTGCAAGTTTGGAGGGGAGGCAGAAAAAGCCTTTGGGTTTTCTAAATGCTATCTCCATGCCTTTCAAGCAAATAGGCAGAATATGTTCAGATCCAGCTTCTTCTCCGTTTGTGGTCATCATCCACATAATCAGAACCGGAACCTCTCCCCAGCCATAGGCAAAGAAAGAAAAGGATTTGGATTGTTCCAAAGAGAAGGCAAAGGAACTGAGAGGACAGATTTTTTTTTTTTTCTAGCCATCTCTGCGGGACTTTTTTCTCTTCTCCTTTTTTAACATTTATTCACTGTCCTTGTTAGGTCTCAGACTTGGTATTGACATGACCCAGTGTCATTCCCTTGAATTTCTTCCACCTAAAATTTCCTGACTGGTTTTGATGATGTCTTCCAGCCTGGACTGTAAGCTCCCTGAGGCCGGGGTCTGGGTCATGTTTGTATTCCATAACTTAATACACACAGTTAAGGGTCAATGAATATGTGTTGAGTAAGTAGATCCATGAATAAATGAACCCATCAGCTTATCATCTCAATAGTCCTAAAGTTGGATTTCATCCTTCCCATGGAGCATGTGGGAAGGGGAGACTTGGAGGTGGGAAATCATTTGCTCAAGTAATAGGGAACAGAACTGAGACCATTAACTGAGTTCTGTCAACTCCAAAGCTCCTTACACGTGTTTTATTGTCCTTAGAAACATATGTTTTACAGGCCTATCATGTGAACACTATTAAAAATAGAAGCTGGAGGCCTAGAGCATAACACAAGGGTAAGAAACTCAGAGTCTATTCCCTCCCTGAGTTTATTAGCAACGCTTTGGCTCCCAGACACCATGGAGGCTGCAGCCGGCTCGGACTCGAAGCTAAGCTTTTTTTTTTTTTTTTTTTTTATCATGATGTGTGGAACTTTAAAAGTGGACTATTAATATCATACGGCTGGCTTCTCAGCTACTTTTCATAGCCAGTTGGGTCACATTTCAAAATGTTTGGGCTGTGGATTGAAGATGGGGTTTGGGCCCATATGTTATCTCTTCCCAGGCTCCCCCGGACCCAAAATGGTCCGCTGACTCCTGTCACTTTTGAGCCAGAGCATTCCTCCTTTGCCGCCCCCCTCCTCTGCTCTGCGGCACAGAGTTCCAAGAGCTAATGGTTATTGCCTTTCAGGGCCCCTCCGTGTTTACTTTGAGAAGGTCAGGCACAATACTGTGGTGTGTCGCTGTTCTTTCTTTTCAAAGCACCAGTATGAATTTGATAAAGTAAATTGTTGTTCTAGCAGGAAGCAGTTAGGGGTCACAAAATAAATAGCCGTAGAATTCAAATAAATCCAAAGAATAAAACCAAATAAATCCATGTGCGTATGCATGGTGATACATAAATACACTTTTAAGAAAGTGAGCATTTTTATCACTGCCGGTCTGGACCAAAGTAATTGAAAAATTGTGGAGTTCATGGTACTTTTTTTTTTTTTGGAGGCGGTCAGGGGCTTTAGCAACGTGACATGAATTTAGTTCTTTTAAGTAAGTGCTTATCTCGAGATTTTTTTTTCAGCTAATGAATTTCACATTTGGATGAAACCAATTTGCAAAGTTAAATTAGGGATTTAGGCATTTAGTAAGGTGGACTGAGGAACCCTAAATGAGCTAACCATTCTGAGTCTCTGTTCTTTTCACCTGGAGATGGGAGAGACTAGTGCTTAAATGGTGCTTTAAAATGACCTTTCAGGGTTATTGAAAGAGTCAATGTGAAAACACTTATAAAGTGTCTAACACACTATTGGTGATCAGTCAATGATGGTTGTTATCACCAAGATAGTTTTTGTGGTCTTTTTAGTCCTGAGGTTCAGTAAAACCCCTAGTCCTCTTACTTTGTGAGGTGGCGTTGGAACCTGGTGTTGAACTTGGGCAGTAGGAGAGCAGGAAATATTTCAGTGTAGAGAACAGCAAGAACCAAGACGGTCACTGGGTGTTCTCTGAGGGGTGTGTGTGTGTGTGTGTGTGTGTGTGTGTGTGAAGTGGGTGGAAGAGGAGAGGAAAGGAGGGGAGAGGAAACTACGAAGCTGGAGAGGAGGTTCAGGTCATGGGCAACTCCTGAGGTCAGGCTTAGGGAATTTATCTCACCCTGGGCAATGAGGAGCCCTTGAAGATACTCGTGGTCAGAGCCCTTCAGGAAGTAAACTAGTGGATATGTAGGAGACATTAGGAGCCAGGAAACCAATTTGGAGACTGCATTAGTGACCTCAGAGTTATTATGGGCATGTACCTTTTGCTTCAGGGTTTTGAGGGACTTTTCTGGGCCGATATTAGAATCCATTGGCCATGACCTTGGAGAGAATGGCATCTGAGCTGGCCACTGATTACCAGCAGCAGCTGCAAGAGCCACCTGATTTTCCAGTGCCCTTGGGCTCCTCTCCAGGACTGCAGACGATGAGGCTGAGCTAGACTCTGCTGTCTTGTCAATGACTCTGAGCATTGAAAGAAAAGACTTGAAAATAGCATTCATTGAGCAGCTACCCTGTACCCGACACTGTGCTAGAGCTTTTATGTGTGTGATCTCATTTAATCATTGTCACAACTCATTTAATAACTGTGAGGAAACTGAGGCTCATGGAGATGGAGTGAGGGCTAGAGGTTGCACCCACCACAAGGAAGTGGTGGATTTGAGATTCACATCTAGGTTATCTGATTGCAAGGCAATTAGCCTTAGGGTGAGCTGCCCAAGGGGAAGTGGGTAAGAGCAAAGAAATGATGCCTTTGGAGGCATAGTGGGCATCACAAGGTTTGACTGTATTAGTAATTATTGATCCTTAGGCTGGGAATATAGTTCAGTTGGTAGTGTGCTTGCCTCGCATACACAAGGCCCTGGGTTCGATCCCCAGCATTACAAAAAAAAAGGTAATCATTGATCCTTAATAATTAATGCTGGTCATTATCACCAAGACAATTTTGTGGACTTTTTAGTGTAGAGGTTCAGTAAAACTCCTAGTCCTCTTACTTTATGAGGACCATTAATTAATCCTTAATAATTAATTGACCTTTAACTGTTAGCAGGGTGTTGTGGAGCAGGGTTGTGGAAGAACCTGCCCTGGTTCTTCCAATACCCTCCTCTGAGTTTGGGGGGTAAGAAAAGAGGATGATCCCTATCATGGAATCTTCTTATAGCCCATGGATTGCTGCAAATGAAAGGAATTAACATTGCTATCAGTGTCATTTGGAGAGGTTTCTGCTGTCCTTGTTCCTCTTTGCTACCTTGCACTGATTCTTCTTTTTCCCCCTTTCCTGTTCTTGTTTTTCCCTGTATGTGCGTGGTTGCAGCGGGACTGCCCTTCATCATCATCGAGACAAGCACCATCCAGCCTTACCACCGAGGGTTTTATTGCAGTGATGAGAGCATCAAGTACCCACTGAAAACCGGAGAGACGATAAATGACGCTGTGCTCTGTGCAGTGGGGATTGTCATTGCCATCCTTGCGGTAAGTGTCGGGTCTCCACCAGGTCCACCTTGTCTTGACACTTTCCTGTGTTATAGTATTATAGGACGTCTGCGCCAACAGAGATGTGTATACCAAGCCAAGGGAGACTTCCTCCAAGTACAAGCCAACAAAACCAATGGAGAATTCTCCCAAGTAGAATTTTACTGAATGCTATTTATTGCCTGCCATTGATATTATTACTAAAAGCCCACATTTACTGTGCAATATACACTATGCACCCTTTTAAAATATTTTTCACACATTATCCTCAACAATCCAGTGGAGTCTAAATATTATTCTTATTTTTCTTCTGCAAATTAAGAAACTAAGGTCCACTGAGTAAGACTAATTTGCTCAAGATCACTTGGTTAATAAGTTGTAGAGTTGAGATTTGAACCTAGTTATCTCTTACACAGATATGAGCTCTGGGCCACTGTGCGGGAAGTACCTTACCAGCTCTCTCGGATGTTTTCTGTGTTCTTTCCATGCTTTTTCTGCACTTAGCTTCAGTGACTATGCCACTGGTGTGCTCTGGCATAGTGTTTAGTTTTCCTGCCAGTGGCTGTGGCACCAATGTAATAGGATTTGGAGCCCAGACAAATAGCTTCTAAACCTGGTCCCCCGATAACAAGTCATAGACCTCTAAAACCAGCAATGACCATCTTGCATCATGGTGCTGCAGTAAGGTATAAAAGGGATTATGAAAATTGAAACACTTTACAAACTCTTAATTGCTGAGCAGGTTACTTGCGTGCAGGTGTAAAGTCCAGGCTTACAGGTCCAGGGCCTCCAATAAAGGGTGCAGTCCTCATTGAGGACGTTACAGAAATGAGCCGTGGACTTTGACAAGATGCAGAGTTATTTTGAGCCATGGTGACCCCACGAGAATAGGGGTATGGCCCACATGGGCCCTACTTGGAAGGTCACCACCCTATTTTAGTGTGTCCATTTAAGGCAGAAAAGGAGGAGGATAATTGAAATCCAGTCTTGTGATTTGCAAGTCCTACATTGTCACAGCTTCCAGAATTTCCTAAGCTTGTTTTCTGCCCTTGAGCCCTGGCCATGTGGGTGAAAGGGATAAGTGACACATCCATCAGGTTTATAAATCCCTTTTGCAGATCTTTCGAATCACGTTACTGTTGAGCATAGTGTGGTAACTCAACTTTGGCCTGTATTAGAAAGCTAAGCATGAAGAGAGATAATATTTAGAACACTAAATGTGAAATAAAGGCTCTTGTCCTCATTATGGAGATGGAAAATCCAAAGCTTAGAGGGATTCTATGGCTTAAAGTCTGTAGTCAGAAAAAAATCTGGTTCAAGCCTACGCTTGGCTTATTTCAAAGCCTCTTTCCATCATGAAGACTTACATTCAAGATGGCTGCCCAACCCTAATGAGCTGCTCCAGGAGATAGGCGGTTGGCTTATCTTGCCTACTCTAGATCAGATGTACTCTGCTGATATTACAGGAACCACATTGCATGAAGTTTTTCTCCGGACTTGCCCACTCTGGGGGTTGGTTGTAAACTTTTGAGACCCCTCTTTGTTTTTTAATAACATCGTAAACCAGGCGCACAACCAACAGTTTGAATTTGGGGAAGGGGAAGGGGCCTAGTAGAATTCTTTCCAACCTTTAAAAAGAAAAACAGTCCATTTGGCAACTGTAGTAGTTTCTCAAAGGTGGACTAAGGATCTTTGTTGTGTTCAAAAGCTGAAAAACGAAAGGTTTGATTTTACCATTTGTTCCAAATTGGTGGCTATGGAGTTGGGCTCTTTAGGAAGAATGGCTGTTCCCGAAAAAGGTGTTTGTGGTGGAAGGCAAATAATTGCACAGTATCTTGGGATCAGTTTGAACAGGTGCTTTTGACAGCTGGAGGATCAGTTAATTGAATGCTTCAAAGGAGCACGTTAGACTCCAGGAGTGTCCTGAGGTAAGAGCAGCACCAGGATGGCTCTGTCACATGTCTTCCTATCTCTACCTGGTCGTGTTCCAATCTTGCCTAGTGGTCTGCTTCCAGGCACATCGCAGTGGAGAGGTAAATTAGGAGGCTTTCTTAATCCGAATTAGGTGACTCATTGGTGCCCCTGACCCTCAGTTTTCTCATCTGTGAAGTGGGAGTGGTGTTGGTAGTCCAGAGGGGAACTGGGTTGCTGAAAGAATTCATGCAATAATGCCTGGAGACACACAGGTAGCCACGTGCTACCTGGAATGTGTGTGGGGAGGTGTGGTTCTGGGTTCTCACCTGACCCCAGCATGGGCAAAGGAAATGTTAAAGGAGCTCCTTTGAGGGCCACGTCTCTCTTCCCATCTTTCCTTAATCCCCAAGCAAAGGTCCCAGTCAACAGCTCCTCACCTGAGGCTTGTCAAGGCCAGTCTCCACCTCCTCCAGCGACACCAGTAGGTCTAAGAAAAAAAAAAAATCTGCTTTTCAGAGCTCAGCTGTACCTGTCCTCTTCCCTCATGTCATGTTGATGTTTTAATTAAAATGCTGTCTGAGGCTGGGGATGTGGTTCAAACGGTAGCGCGCTCACCTGGCATGCGCGGGGCACTGGGTTCGATCCTCAGCACCACATACAAATAAAAATAAAGATGTTGTGCCCACCGAAAACTAAAATATAAATATTAAGAAAATAGATAAATAAATAAAAAATAAAATGCTGTCTGAATTCTCGGGTTTCCTTGAAGCAGACCTGTGCTCTGGGCCTTGGTTATAGGACAAGCAGAGGCATTGCTTCCTTATTCTATGTGAGATCAGCACGATGGTTTGATGGTTTTTCTACACCTTGGGGAGACACCAGGCAAGACAATGCCACACTAATTGCTTTCCCTTGTTGAGTTCTGCTGTGTGCCCTGGACTATGTCCATGCATTTCACCCTGGAAGAGACCCCAAAAGCCAGGTATTATTAACGTTTAGCGTGGGGCAAAGGACATACAATCCAGGTCTGATCTGAGCTCTTGTCCTATGGGACATGTGTCAAGTTCATGAATTTCTTCGAGCCTCCGTAGACTTATCTGTTAAATGGAGAGAGTATGTCTACGGACTAAGGTTTTGAGAATAAAATGAGCTCCTGTCTATAAAGTGACTCAGTGCCTGGCATATACAGTCTACCCAGTAAATATTAACTATCTTTATCGTAAATGAGTAAACAGACTCAAAAAGTGAGGCGACTTAGCCACAGCAATATATCTGAGAAGAAGAGACAGAAAAAGTCCCAATCTTTCCTTGGAGTTACTGAATTAGAACCCAGGTCATTTGAGTCTCCCTCCTTTGCAGTAGGACTTTTGCCTCCTGATCTAGCTGCAGTTGCATGTCAGCTGGAGGCATGGGTGGACCGTGGCCCCTGATGATGTCAACTAGCCTGCTTTCCTGCCCTGCCTACCAGGAGAAAAATGCATGCAGAGGCCTCAGAGGCCAAGTGCAGAATTTGCTTTGGTTTGCTCAACTCTGGAAAAGCTATACAACTTAACAACAGCGACACCACATTTCCCACTTTTCCATCCTGGCCATAAGAGCCTGGCTGGCTTCATCCAGAACCGGCTTCTGATCAGAGGACATGAGTGACCCTCATAGTGGGGGCAGGTTGCGGGGCTGGGAATCTCATCATCTCGCTACCTGCTGTCCTGGGCCTTCTGCTGCCGAATGTCAGGTCTGTTTGAAGCAGCAGGAGAAGACTTGCCTGATTTGGAGGTTGTGGATCCAGGGTGAACAGCCCCCACAACAAAGGAACGGAATGGCAGCGGAGGCCAGGGTGGTGCAGAGATGCAAATCATCAGAAGTTATAGGGAAAGCAGACACCTTTCTGTGGCAGGACTTATGGAAAAACCCGGTCATTTTGACCTCTTTTTCAGATGTATCTCAGATTCTGGAATTATAGCATAATAGGAATTCCTTCCAAATCCACAAAGCAATGGTTCCTATCCCTGCTTTGCAAAAGCTTAATGACTCTAGCAGCAGCGAGATTAGAAGCAAGCAATAAAATCCCACCTCCTATCTAGCCTCCCTTCAGTTGTGCCTTGCACTGTGTTATGAAGATTATTCTAAGCAAAGTTTTTAATATGGCAAAAATGCTCAGTATTCTTTTTAAATAAACACGGGCTCAGTACTTGCTTTGGTCAGACCCCAGAAGGGATTTATATAGATTCTTAATACCTAGGAATTGATGCATGGGTGAGTCATGGATGAATCCCCTTCTCCTTCTCGCCATAAAAATGCTACTTTCCCTCCAGGACCCCTCGGCCCCTTGAAACTGACTTCTGTAATTATTTTCCTAACTAAAGAAAAAATCTCAGGCTTTGGCATCATCCGACTGAGGCTCAAGTCCCAACTTCTGTGCTTACTAATTCTTTTACTTAGCCTCAGGGCAACCATTGACCCACCACCACCACTCCCCCACCTTGGAGCTACATTTTTTCCTTTTCTCTAAATTTGTGGCAGAGTTCATTTTGGTCCATCAAACGGATGATATTATATATGTGAGATCGGTGAGATCCATCCTTTCTTTTTGGAATATAGCTGTTTGCAAAGTGCACACTCTCTTATTTGCACCTGGAAGTCATTCTGAGAGGTGGATTGTTAGAGCTGAGACATCTGGGACTCTAGGTTATTCAGTGACTCTCCCATAACTGGCAAGGCCAGACCAGGAATCCTCTGATTCATAAGCCAATGCTTTTTAAATAATGGTGCCACTGCTGCCCTCTAAGCCAGCTCTTGACTAGGCATCTGTGGCATGCTAGATACTGGGAACACAGTGGTGAGGCTTAGTCCAATAAACTGCATGTTGTCTTGTGGCCCTAAACCCCATCTCAGCAGGCAAGTAGCACCTGTAATAGGGTGTCTTGTGATGCATTCCTGCCCAGGTCTTGTCTCCCCAGCTAGATGACAGTTCCTAGGAGACAGAGGCCAGTCTTTTCCTCTGGCACACGGTAGGAGCTAAATAAAAACCAAGTAGACATCTTGAGGAAGCATTCTGCTGCCTCCTCCCAGGCTTCTGAAGATTGTGG